TAATAATAATAATAATAATAATAATAATAATAATAATAATAATAATACGATTTAAACGGCCTCGAGCAAGTGTGGCGTTGGAACGTCATCGTTTCTTGGCCCCGTAAAGAATGATTTGTCTTCTGAAAATAATAAAATGCACAATAATAATAACTAACATAGAAGAAAGTATTTTATCGTTACCATAATTAGTACAAATACAAACAATAACGGATGAAACATTTATTATCAAGTCTCTCAGATATTGTGGCACAATTCATTATATTACATCCTAACCTTTTAATACGTAAAAATAATTTTAAAATGTTTTCATCCAATTATTTTTGACTAACTAGTAAGTTTGACAAACACGTTAACCATAACATAGAATATTAATGTTGATTTAGATTTACATTTAAATTGCAACACTGTCTTATGTGTACTATAAATTATGAACAATAACAAATTAAGAACACAAAAAATAAAAAATACGAATCCATTATATAAAAAAAGTAAAATAGTTCTGAAAATATAAACATGTTGAAACTCATACAATTTCGTAAGTGAAACTAAATTTATAACTTTCTCTTGTAGTTTTTCAAACATTTTATGGTAGTTGTGTTAACTGCTATAAAAATTGAGCTTGATTCGTTGTTCGGTTTTATATTTCAAGTTATCGTACATCAGTAAGACAACAGCTACCGAAAAATTGTTTTATATTTGAAAATAATCTTAATGGTTACTTCAAATGTACTCGTATTCTTAAGAATATGACGTTTATCTTCCTTTTGCACTGTACGAGTGAAAGATCTATTCTTTTTAACGATGTTATAGAAACCCACCCTTGATGTTATGAAATTTTAGCGATAATCCGATATTTTAAAGACATTTATAAATAAAGAATTTAATGATTAGTTTTTTATTTTAGTGATTAACAAATGATTTTTAAAACAAAAAAAAATCAAATACTGAAATTATGGTGCATCTAATGTGTTTGGTCAGAAAAACTTGAAAGAATATCCTAGACAATTGCTGTTGAATTTCTGCACATTTGCTTTCCTTTTTGTTCATTTATTTCTATGACGTTATCGGACGTCGAGAACTCTAGGTCTCTTCAGTCCTTCCAGTCTCACTCATATTCTACTCATTTAACGCGCCTTACTTAAGAGAAAATATACGATATCGTAGCAAAAGTTGTTACAGGATCTTCTGCTAAGAAAAATTAACGGAATATTATTAATCTCCTCAACCGTGTAGGGGACAAAAAATAATTTCCGTAGTTATATTTTATTTCATTTTTTAGTTTAGCCATGAAATCGATTTGGTAGTATCATATAAACCTTTTTTTTTTTATCTTATAATTGTCACATGTGTTGGAAATCATCTAACGATCATAATACTATTTAAACTCAATCAAAAATTGAGTTTGATGAAAATGATTGTCTTTAAAATGACATATCGAATAATTAAAACCTTTTCTCTTTCCCTCTTAACTTTTAAAGATTGGAATTGTTCAGACATTTGGTTTTGTCATTCTATTATAGTGCGAAACATCACAGAATTTTATATTTGTTTTCTAAATAATTATTAATCTGGTAGATTCATTGCGTGTCTGTCTATGTATGTAAATTTATTTTTTATGTAGAAAGTGTGCTTCTCGTCACTGCAATTCTCACTTGGAATAACATACCCTGAACCCCCTGATATATGTGTATTTTCTGGATTTTTTTTTTTCATTATAGCGTATACTTAATATAAATCGATTTAGTTTATATGTGCCTCATATACGGCATAAAGAAAGCGTTATCTTATACATGATGATCAATGTGAACTATTATGATATGATGAGTTTATAAATCAATAAGTATAGTGAAGATAGTGGATGCAATGATTATATTAAATAGCGATCACGTGGATATTAGAATACAGGTGTGTGATAAATATATCATAAATCGATCATAGGCGATTAGCTATATAGAATACATACTATTATAATCAATTCAAAGCTACACTTTTTTTTTCGGAAATCGAAGAAAAAATTTTTAATGAAATAGTTACGGAACATGCATACAGCAAACTATGGTGTATGACATGACATTTTCACTGAGGTTTTGCAGGATTACTATTTTGATGTAAACAGGGTTAACTGACATTTATAGTCATATTTTTCCTTTAGCAAACGTAAATAATTTAGAATTATTTTATATTAATACATTTTGTCAAAATATTTTGATTTTTGATTAAAAAATATTCCATTGCAAGTTAGTCGTATTGATATTATAAATAAATAATACAATTAAATAAAATAAATTTCGACCGAGCGGTTTTTTATAACAGTATACAATATTACTTTACGGAATGTAAAATATTACTAACTCTGTATGATAAAGATTGGTTTTCATGATGTCGGATCGAGTTATATGTTTGGAATTCAATGGTAAAATATAATGTTGAAAAGTTCATGAAACGTATGGCTCTGAAATAAGCGAAGTGATTAGATCTTTTTTTTTCTGATCGTTTTTTTTTCTTCGTCTCAACGGTATAGGATTGAAATGAATCACAAACCTTCTAATCGAAGGGGGTTTCCTATCGAAATTTCGCACAACTATTTTCGATCAATAAACGACCGGGAATCTGGGCGGCCGATTGAAAAACTTAAGGAGACACAAATGCGAGTGGTACCTACCGTCGTCGTGGTCGTAGTCGTCTCCGACCCTTCGGTGGTCACATCGTCTCGGTGTCCGAAACCTCGTCGTGACGCTGACTAGAGGTACTCGACAATGTCGCACTTGACCGCAATGTTGGGACACGACGCGATCGACGCCCGGTTGTGGTGCTGCTGCGTCTGCTGATGGGGATGATTCGAATTAGTGTGATGGGAATGGGGGTGGTGATGATGGTGATGGTGGTGGTGGTGCGACGAGGATGAGGAGTCGTGCGCCCGTCTCTCGGTCAGCAGTTTCTGGAAAATCGGCAGTATGGCCACGTCCAGTAGCTCGCCCTCGGACAGGGTGTTCACGCGGGACATGCTCGAGCCGCCGAGGGCGGGATGCGAACCGGCCGCGTTAGTGGGGGGCGAACCGCCGCTCGTTGAGCCACCCGAATCGCGCCGCCGTCCGTGGTAAACGTTCGGTGTGCTGTGCATGTGCGGCGCAGATGGACGTCTCAGACCGGGTCCGCGGTTCCGAGACGTCGACGAGGAACCTCCGCCGCCGCAAGATCCGCTTTTTTCCGACACCGAACGGTGCATAGAACTGGCGGTCGTGAGTGACGATGAACTATCATCCTCTGTGAACGGAGAAAATCAGTTTTAGAATAACGAAAATCAATATTATTACAACGGTTTGGTTTTTAGTGGAGCGTTTCTTTCGTTCCAGCGAAAACGACTGCCGCATCCGTATTAAACCACGAAACGTCATATGCACTTAATGTTCACTTGAATATCGATACGAGTCTCAAAGGGTGTCCCAAGTTCGCATAAATAACATTTAGGTAACCATGTGGGGATATGTTCAACCCCTAAATAGTTCATTTTTGACAATTTGCTTTCAAATTTCCAAATCGTTTCAGTATAGTAAACGAGGGGAGTTTTTGTTGTTTCAAAGATCGAATGAGCGAGCAATATCACAAGAGACTATTGATTCACCGGGGAAAGAAAAGCCCTCACGTTTTATCCGAACAAGATCTAAACCTAGACCCTTAACGATCTCATTAAAAAAAAAAAAAAAAAAAAAAAAAATGATTTTGAAGTAATACAAATTTTTTGTAATACATTTTTTAAATCACAAGAAGAAAGATCAAGTATAATTTTAAAAGTTTTAAAGTCATAGAGTACAGGCGTTGACGGATAAATTTATGAGGAATATTTTATCATGTAATAATATGTGGAAAAGTAAATAGAGAACTGATTAAATTGGTGAAATTACGTATCGAAAATATAGTAAGTATATTGATCTCCAAAAATGAATGGAGAAGTACAAAATTATAATATATAGAACTTGATACAATCATATAATAGCAAAATGTTTTCTGTTTAGATTAATTAGAAATAAAAAAAGTGGTATTTGTTTTAAACAAAAAATAAGTGAACTATAGGAATAGTCTATGAAATAATATTTAAAGAAATATGGTAAAAAAAGTGAAAGTTATGATGTGAAGTTAAGCAATGATTATATTTACATGAATTGTGTAACGGCTACTTACTTTATAAGTATTAAGAATTACAATATTAATACGGAGATCTTGAATATTTACAAAAATCAAATAACAATGAAGTTTTTTTTTATTAAAAAATGTTAATTTTAATTGTATTATTATTAAAATGTGTTTAAAAAAAACAATATACTTATAGAATTTAACTAATGCGGTGGCATTGATAAGGTTTTATTTTAGTTCTTTTTTTTTTTGATTTGGTCGAAAAAAAAAAGCAAAAGCGGTAATACAGTATTATGGGGCACTCGAACCAGCCGGTTCTACGACAAAATCACGCGGAACAGGGTAGTAGTAGTGTCACTACTCATTTAAATTACAATTGACCAAACAATTGACCAAACCCAACGGTAAATATTGTCATTGAACACAGTATGCATATGCGCGCACTATTGGTATTACATCCGTCCACATGTTTGAGTCGCAGCGAAACCAATCGTTAGTAAGACGACAATCGATTATTTCTGCAATAATAAGTATATTGTGACACGTGATGTATATATATACGATGGGCGTTTGAATTTTACAGTTCACGCTATTTAGCCAATAGACTAAAGTTTACTTCAGATAATGACATCGTTCTAGTTAATGCGTTCGTCGGTAAATAATGTCTGCAAATTACGTCGATTCGGTCATCAGGATAACGTTGACGTGATAATAAATTATTATACTCGTCGTTCCGTGTATCATTACGTAATGCGTGCACGTGTTCTTGTTATTCTCGAGTTGGAAGCCTGTTCAATGTTGTACTCGATATTTAAGTCGATTTTGCTAAAAACGGAAGTAAAATGTCATACAAATTACAAGATAAAAATAGAGACAGTAGAAGAGAGATAAATAGAAGGAAAGGACAGAAACAATTTAATCAGGACTTTTCTTCCAGAGATTACTTAAGATGAGGATGATATACATGTTGATGTTAATTTTTTTCCGTTTATTTTTAAAAATGGAATAAGGAAAAAATCTAGTATTTCCATGAAAGCCGGCTGAAGGCTAGAATTAGAGGGAAATTATAACGATTACGAGGGAACTGAAAGATGAGAAAATATTCAGTTACTATTATGATTGAATTCTGTATTATAGTATTTAAGATATCCTGTAATATCCGATTGGACGTACGTTAATTAGTATTTCGTACATAATATGTACTCGAATTTCGTAAAGCCTAATGATGTTTTGAGTTATAAATCGACCACCGTTGGGAAAATAATTAATCGGATTTACCCTCTTTTAATTCGGCATCCAGTGATTTAATTCTCACATTTCAACCCAAAACCGGCCAACTGTGGATGAAATACAATGTACGAAACTGTGGGCGTTTTATTTTACAACAATTATAATTAGTCACCACCACCCGTAGTAAACAAGAAAATAATTCCGGAATTCAGGTTAGGTTAGCGTCTAATATACGAGTACCTACTAATCTAAGACATCATTGTGCACAGCAGTGTTTTGAAGACTACACATCATTGTGTCCCGCGTTACTAAATATGATAACTGAATCGATTCCGACTTTTTTTCTCTAGGTGGCAATGAAGTACAAAAGATGTACGTAGTCTGTATCAAAATAAAACGCTTTAGTTCCACGACTATAGCTCATATCACAGTTGTTTTCTACTTGTTTTTTAATGCTTTAATCGACACATCGATTTGATCAGAATATTGCGCTTAAAAAATCGGAAAAAAACTATGTTAAGGGGGCTACAAACAGTACAAATAAACACGTAAACCATGCTTAAAGCCAGACAAAGTGTGGCACTTGGGTTGGACGGATATTAATTATGTTCATATATTTAAAATCTTCAACGTTTCAACTGAAGACGTATATACCTGCCAGTGCCTGGCGGTAACCTATTTTAGTACGCGGCCGGGATTAAATATTCCGTGGTGAGTAAAATAATATTGTAAATTTTAATATTTTTATTTTGATTATTCAATTATCCTGGTATCTTCTGTTGTTTTCAAGTCTATATAATACCGACAATTCTCCAAAAGATATGGTGATGTTTGTAATGAAAATTTGTAATTAAAGAGAAATTTATAACGTTGTTTTAATCAAAAATACTCGTATATATATTTTTTTCATTTTAACACCCAAACTCAAGTATTACGACAACAAATTTTTTAACACTTTTGACCTCATCCCCTCAATGTCAGTGTACGTCAGATAATGATTGACTTTTCTTTCTCCTATATCATTTCAACATTTTTCATAAAAACCCCTAAATTCTTTTATTCTTATTGATAAAATTGAATTTTTTCAGTTATCAAAATTAAGATAGTTATAAGAATAATAAAATGGCTCGTTTTCGATGCCACCGGTAATTAATCAGATTTTTCTTTTTTTCGCACGTCAATTCGAATTCTGATATCGATACGATGCTGATAAGAATTTTGAGATTTAATGCTATCTGTGATTTAGAATGCTACCAAACGACGCTTGTTCAATATGGTGCTAGATAATTGATAAATCGAGGGTCCGAATGTTTATCCCATTCTTTCGATAATTCGAATCTAAAGTTTTTTACCGTACCAATCGAACCAGGTGGTTTGAATTAATTTTGGACGTATAGTCTGGTTGGGAAAAGCTAACAGAATGATATGAACAACGTGCATGTACTTCGTTGCTGTCAAGACGTGAACCCCATAGGCCGGTTCGTCCGGTCGGCACGGATCTACAACTTTCCAGGCGCGTGCACACAAAGGTGAGGGGACTGGAGAGAATCGACTCATCCGGTATCTCAGGAAAACGTGCATTGGGACGGTTTATGGTGAGCAGTTTTCAACCGGGTCGCAGATGGCCACGGTCACGGGCGTCCAGAGGGGAGTTGGCAAGACGGGGCATTTGCTCTCCCCTGAAAAAAATTAATCGAACGGGTAATAATAAAGTTTGCAATCGAACAACTGCGAAGACTTTAGCTTTTATTTGATAACTACTAAAATGTGTACAATTCTAACATATTTTGTTGTTTGCTAAGAATACATTTTTTTTTAATATACTTTTTGATGTTCGATTTAATTATGCCACTGATAAATTTCCCGCGGTCGCCCCATGGCCACGGTTTCCGGGCAGCAACCAACCACTTACCGTCGTCGGTCGGCGAATCGACGTTATTGTTGAGCAAGCCTCTGGTTACGGGCGGCGGCGACCGGTTCGCGTGCCGTTGCGTTTGCGTCAGCCACAGTTCGTCCTGGTGCACGAACGTGGGTTGCTGGCACGTCCTCTTGGTCTGCGGCATCGACGGTCGCCGGTGCGCGCAACTCGCGGCCGACTGGTGTTGAGGAGTGGTCGTGGCCGCGGTCGCAGTTGGAGTCGCACCACTGCTGGACCGCCTTTGACCGCCGCCGCACGTCGACTGCGAACATTTATTTTTTATTATTAATTTTTATTCTTTTTTTTTTTTTAATCAAAGCGAATTTAATTCTACGAAAACCTATCGAAAAAGCCTACGAACGAACATCGATAAGGATTACAACTGCAGATACGGTGGTCGGTTAGGCGGTGCCCATCGCGAAAAGTTGATCGGGTAAACAACAGCGGGCCAGAGCAGGGTTTTAGTGGTCCGATGGATATGGCTGACCGAACATTTGAAAACGGTAAATCGGTATTGGTATTGGTATTGGCAGCGATTGTTATGATTGTAATATGCAGTGTTGGATCATAGAAAATGATATCATAAAAAAACTCAATCAACTGATCGATTTATGCTTAAGTTTTTCTAGGCGCCTAACATGATGCGTTAGCGTTGGACGCTATAGTATAGTTCGTTATCATGATCAAATGTTTTTGATAAATATTATTATAAGATCATTATGTATTATTTTATGGAATTAATTATAAATAAAGCTCAGGCCCAGACATGATTCCAAGCATTTTATTTTCAAATTGTAAATTAGTGTTGGCTGTTTTGAAACTGCAAGGATTTCACAAATACTGATACTTTAAAAATATTATTTACATCGTCAGTTCGAATTAAATTAGAATATAATTGTATGGTATGGTGTCCATACTTAAAAACTCAAATTCAATTATTAGATAATGTACAAAATCGTTTTCTGCGATTTATGTCTTTCAAATGCAACATTTATCGTGAACCCCACTCTCCATAAATGCATTATTAAATTGTACTGTTAAATTTATTCAACATTAGTAGTTTAAGTGATAGAAGAAAAATAAATTAATTTAAATATTTATTTAAACTATTAAACGGTAACAATGTTTGTCCTGAATTCTAATGCTTGTTCAATTTGAATTTTCCTTAGTGTAGAACTGGATCAAATACTATATTTTATGTATTTCTACAAAAAACCAATTATATATTAGCTTATCCTATTAATAGGATGATGACATTATCAAATGAAGCAAACATTGATTTATTAAGTTTTAATTCCATTAATACTTTTAATATAATCAAATTATATTGAAATTTTATGTTTATTTTATTACCCAATATTTATGCTTATGTTTAATTTTTACTATCATGTTATAACACTATTGTATTTTTATATATAAAAAAACTAAAGTGTGTTACTATATTGGATCTACGATTTTTTGAAATAATAAAAAAAAAAAAATTCTTATGTAAAAATCACACTCTGTTAAATATTAAATTCGGTACATTGGAAAAATGTTAAAATTAATTTTATTGAAAAAAACATGCCTTGCTTCACTCAGAATTTATAAGTTATAATCAATCGTCCTTGTGCATGGAAATAATTATTCGGTTGAGCTGCTTTAATTTTCAAACATCAAACGACGATGAAAGAAAATCGACTTGGTTTAAATTATTGAAGTTTGACTAATACGTAAAAGGGTTGTGTTAGAAAAATCATTGACATAATTGAAAAATGACGTGCAGTGAGAGCTAGCTGTGCCGGATTTCCGATGAGGTAAGATGAAACTCTTGGAGAAGATTTACTATAAAATAGCATCTACAGCGAAAACTTCAGATAGAAGTGGTTGCTCACAACTATATATCATCCCTTAGAGGGATCTTACATCAATAATATATACTATAGCTCTTCGTAAGTCTACGTGTTTTGCCCCAGAGGTTTGGAATATTTGACAAAATAGTATGAGTATAACAACATCAAAGTTTAACGTTATGCAAAAATCTGAGAAAATACTGCAGTAGTATACTCTGTGTGAAAACTAGTAGCAATATCCGTATTCTGCCTTCCATTGTGATTTGTGCATTTTAATTGTAACAATAGTTATTTTCTTAGAGCATTTTAGCACTGTTAAATACATAATCGCATGGTATCAAATATACAAATATAATATAATAAATTGGGCATGATTGTCGGTGTAAAGCGGGCGGATAATCATATAAATAATGGTTGTGTAATAAGAGTACATCCGTGTTACCGTGTTTTAAGAAATTATCACATCAATATTTCAACGGGTGATATAATAGGTATATTATTTTAAATTATAAGCTGTAGCTTATAAACATGTTACTCGTATATTCAATAACGTTAAATTATTATGTTACTACTATTTATTCACCCCTTTCCTTTTATATGACTCTTGTGTGCAGTTTATTGTCAAGTGACTGCAGATGTCGTCAAAATTGTTCATCGTTCAATTACTCTGTGGTTGCTCTTGGAAAACCGAAACTGGCGGTTTAATAGGAGGAGAGTTGGGAATGGTTGGGAAAGTCGATACACAGTAGGAGACATAACATCTTCGATCCGAGAAAATTATTTGAACCGATGTTGTACTCTAAATGCGTTTTTTCGATTCTGCTCATTCTTCCCATATAATTTACACCGCTGAGTCTCTGAAGTCTAGTCAAGCTGGAGTCAAAACGGTTTAGTAGGACACGACTGAATAAAATATGTTTCCATTACATGAATAACTGTAAAGTTTGCACCAGTAGACATAAGGTTTAATTATTTTTTACAACGGTTAAATTCTTGAGCGGAATGGACTTTTTGAACGTTCCAGGTCAAACGGGTCGATAAAGAGAATAATACTTTTTATTATTTTAACTCCATCCCCAACGTATACGTAATTGTTATTGTCGACAAGTTACTTTACTTTTCATTTAAAACAAAAACTCATATTATTTATTCTAGTCTCAACAATACTCTTAAAAAAAAAAAAAAAAAATTGGAACTAAATATATATGAACATAAAAAATAGGAAATTTAAATAAAAAAGATAAATGAAATACTTATTTCTATATTAATATTTTTTACGCTGTCCTTTTTAGAAATTATTAAATATTTAAAATATCGAACAAGATTTTAGCTTCAAGCATTATTTAATAATGTACTTACCCGTGTTGGAGACGGCGTAAAACGCGCAAGTTCGTCAGGCGATTTTGCCGGCTCAATGGATATTGATGGGATTCTGGCATGTCTCTGACACGTTTTTCTGAAATCATGAAATTATCATTGATGATATAATATGTTATAATATACCATTATAATTGTTACGAAGTATTGTTCAAATAATAATTTTTATCGTAAGTTTTTATTTGATTGTTTGAAATCAAATTTAGCCCAATTCGGATTTTGTTTCCAACATTATTAATAACTTAATAGAAATTTCGTGGAACGAAGACAAAAAGTAATTTTCACTTAAATATTATCTGCTGCGAATTATTAATATTTTTATCTCGCATTTGTCAGACGAAATGTTATTCTACATAAGTACAATCTGTACTGAATCGTATAAAAAGGAAAATCTAAACTAGTATCTATTTAGAACCACTAAAACGCAAAAACGAATCGTGGCAGTGTTGATCGTAAATAATAATAGTAATAATAATATTAATTACTTTTCCGGAGAAAACTGTTCAGGCACGACGACTTCGATAACGCCGTTGGATTCTTCTTCTTGTATCACGTCGACTTTGGTTTGTTTTTCTTCGGCCATAATTTTTTTCTGCTCTGTAATCATGATATTTAAGTATAAATCAATCACGCGTAACCCAGAAAATTTCTACAAATGTTGAAAGAAATTCTAATGAACTGTTTTTATTACAACATAATCTAAGACCCGCTAACACTAACTCAATTCTGACTGCTTAAGAGCCCGGAATGTATCGATTTTTAAAACCATCGCGTCGATTTCTCTGTCCACGTCCAGTAGTTGCTGCCTGTACTGCTGGTTTTTGTTCTTTTGCGCACGAATCTGTTCTTCCGTATCGCAAACGTCCTTGTATGTCTTGGACATTGGCCTCAGAGTCGCTCGTATTCGTTTATCTACTCCCTGTGGATTTCTTTTTAACTCTACGATCTGTAAACAAGTATACATTTATATAAATGTTTCAAGTACATTTCTTTAGCGTATTATCTCCAATAAAGTAAATGTGCTTCGAGTTTGACATCTAGCAATAATTAATAGTATATTAATTGATAAAGAATTTAAGTTGTTAAAATTAAAATAAAAAAAACAAAACAGAAGAATTACCAAAAATGCATACTAATTTTACAGATTTTTATTGAAAATAGTAAAGTTTTTAATTAATATAGATACTTAAATAAAGTTATAAAATCAATTCAACTAAAAATAATTAAATTTTTAATTTGTTATAATTGTGAAACTCAAGACAAATCAATATAGTTCTTATTATATTTTGTTTTGAAATCAATCTTGTGCGTAAAATACAAGTACGTGAAAACAAAATATCCTCTGTGAATAAATTGTTATTATAATAAATGTCAAGGTGTATAATTTCGATACAAACATCGATGTTTTTAGATATTTGGTCATAAAAAATTATTAATTTTTGAGCTCCGGTAAAATGGTAATATTTTTTTTTTTAAAGCGGTTATCTTAAATAATACGTATTTATATTTATATATAGGGCGTTAGGTACGTAATAGTTCGCAGAAGTAAGTATATATTAACGGAAATAAGCAATGGAAAATCGATAATTAATCAATCTAAAAGGATTACAATATTGATGTTACGATGTTTATACAACGAAATCAAATATGCACTCAAGAAGTTTCTATGTAAAATTCCTCTATAATTTAAATTATTTTTAAAACGAGTCATTATTAAATTTTTGTAAGGGTATTTCTGGGAGTTATAAACGATTAAAATTTCACATAAAAAAAAATTTCATAAAATTAACACATACAGGGTTAACTCACTTTTGGTATAAACACCAAGAAAAGCGTGGCGGTTGAACAGAACAATATAAACACTGATATGATAATGAAGGACGCGTCCTGTTGATCGCTCAAGACGAAGGAGATAGCTGCACCAGCAACGCACATCAGTACAACGTTATATACGCTCATACCCACGTATTTTGAGTCGTTTAACGCAGGTATGCTCACGTGTCGGGTTTCCCAAGCTAGGAAAGCTCCAAATACCTTAAAGCAGAAGGAAAAATAATAATAAAAAAACACGTAACGAATTTCTTTACTGAACGCCATGTAATAATGCCAAGCGTTCACAGTGCATTTATGTTCTATCCCTTTCTTTCTCTCTCTTACTATGTTTATTCATTTTTTCACCTTAAAAAATGAAACGTATACGTACCATTAGTGATCCCTTGTAGACGTATATGATAGCGAGGAACACGGTCATGTGATCACTTTGACAGTACTCGTTACACGGGATGATCACTATATCATCGTTGTGCGGGTGTGGCTGTGAACACAATTGGATGTAATACAACAACGCAATATTTCATAATTTATTATTATTTAATTTAAAACTTTAAAATTTCTCTCTCTGTCTTAAATTTTGAATGATTTTATTTATTTTAAATGCTCATCCATGTTTATATACGTCACACATGTATCATGCTATTACATATACATGTGTATGTGTGTGTGTGTGTGTGTGTGTGTGTGTGTGTGTGTGTATGTTCGCGTGTTAAAGTTAAATTATTGAATCAGTCAGTTTATGAAATAACCAGGCAATTTAAGCAAATACAAAAACGAGAAGGAAATTATACTTATATTTTAACTAGTTTAAGTTTTAGTACTCTTCTTTTAGTTTAAAATTACCACAAGTTTAAATATCTGACTGAAATTGATCGGGGCTTTTGGGTTAAGTGTAAATGTAATAAAATATGAATAAAAAAGTATTCATTTATTGAAGAAACTGTGAACTATGTTACTAAGAATGTCATAATTACTTCGTATTCACAGATAAATAATAAAAGTTTTAAACTTATATTAGTAATATGATTGTTAATATTAATCTTAGTAATAAAATATATTTATAATATTAACAAACAACGTGAATTGTATTAAAGTATAGGTTTTCATTTTCATTTGGTATTTTATATTATACTTTAAAGGTAATCAAATTTAAACTACATATAATAACACAAATAACAAATGTGGAGTTAATAAAATAGTACTAGTGAAAAGTATGTTTACAACAGTATTTTCTTGTATTTCATTATATATTTAAACCAAATTTTGTAGGCTATTCATGAATCATCAAATTATTTTGTAAAACAACATTATTTAACATTTTAAAAGTTTTAACTGTCATATATTCATGTATATATATAATTTATCATAAATAACACAAAAAAAAAAAAACTAAAAAGTAATAATTTATGCTGTATAGAAAAAATGTGTCACATGAATGTGTGAAGTTGCGTGTTATCATTAATATTTTATTCGTAAATGCACTAGCGTAAGTCAGGACTCGTTGTTCTCCTTCAACCCCTAAATAATTAGATCAAGAATGACCACGAAAGACAAAACATTTTGGAAAAATTGTCCAGTGAAAATGCTGGTATATAATTCGCGGCACAATACAATTTATAATATTCAAGATTCTGTACCCCGAAGCTCACAACGAAGTACAAAAATGTTTCTGCCAAAGTAGAACCAACAGAGTGTACTTTTAATTTTAAAACATGTACAAAGGATTCATCTACAACTTTTTGTTTTTGTTGTTGTTCCTCATTGCTTTAAAAATTATATTTTGTTTACTTTTATTTTTTTTTCATCAACTGTTATTTTACACATATACAACGTTGTGTTTTTATTGTTAAATTTTTTCCAGAAACGATTTTTTATACCTTATTATAAAAGTACCTTTTAGTTATGATTAAAAACAAAAGAACAAAGGAAAACTAACGAAATAACAAACAAAATAGTAATTTGCACTTTGTTTTAATTCTAAAACTATAAGTATCAATTATTAATTTTGAGTATGTTCTAATACTCGTATATTTACTATTTAATATTTAATTTACTATATTTACTATTTAATATTAATTGTATCAATATTTTAAGTAAAAGTAAAAATTGAATTAAACTTGAATCTATCGTCAGAGTTTTCATGGAGGCTTCCAAAAATTATCTTAAGTTTGTTGGAATTTTAGATTGATGTTATTTTGTTTGCAATAATATTTTAAGCTATTTTTAAATTTATTTATATATTTTGATATTATTTCAACCGTGTTTTGTTGTGAGAAAAAATATAAAAACAGTAAGTGTATAAATAATTTGTAAGATTGTCAAATAATAGCAGTGAGATGATTTCTATATTTTTACATTCATATTATTATATTGCAATAAATGTTTAAAAGAAATGTTTTCAACGTTTCACGCCATTCAATTTTGATTTCATACAATTATATCATTACGTATGTTAAATTCATTAAGAACAACTAATAGTTATTATTCGAATAAGGTGATTTTTGTGGGTCTGATATGTTTGTTCGACACTCGAATGCCCGGCACTTCAATTGCCCGAATCTATTTGCCCGAGGACTGACAATATATTTTACATACTTTTACTGTACTTAATACTGATATACAATATTTTATTATTATTTCATTAATACCATTTCATTATTTTATTATTATTATTATTTATTAATATACAATATAAGTATACAATAATTAAAAAAAAAATTTAAATCAGACGAATATTTTATCGGGCGTCCACTGTTTGGGTGAATCGACCTAAAATTTAGTCTGTTTGGGTGAGGATTATTTAACTAAAAATACCGTTTGGATGGAATAAAAATACTTATAATATACACTCAATAATTAATTAAACAAAATTATATTAAATATAAATAATTAATTATAAGTTATATTTAAAAAAAAAAAATATTGATATAGATAGTTAGTAATCTACAGTCAAAAAATTAAAATAATTAAATTAAATTACAGATAATATAATTATTAGTAATTTTTAAAGCAATCTATTGGCCTGGTATTTTAAACCTAAACATTTTATGTATTCTAATTGGTTAATATCACCTCTTTTATAAATAACATAATAGGTATAATATTTTATTGACATTTTTAATAATTTTTGACACATATTTATTTCTAATATAATTTGAGGTCGTCGGGTAAGTGTAGTGTCGGGCAAATGGTATCGGGCAATTAAGGTGTCGGGCAAATGTACTGATCCCGTTTTTCGTGGAGGAGCCATTTTAGGAGCCTATTATTAAATTTTATTTCTTCACAGTCATCTGGTAGGTATTTATTTCATTAGCCCACAGAATAATTACTAAATGCGGCGGTGAGTACACATAGTTATTATTATTATGATTAAAGCGAATAGAATCTCCTCCGAATATTGCTTCGAGGGTTCGGTGTTAGGAAGGACAACACTGCGGTCGTGGTGTGCGTCGACGGCGCGGGTATATATGTACTTTGATACTCGTCGCTGCGCTTCGGGTCTTATACTCACGTATGATTCCATTTGTTTAGTTTCCCTGTAAAATGGATCTGAAAACTGCCACGTGAACATTATTCCCAAGTCGATGCATAACAATATGCCCACCATGAGAAAGAGTTGCGTGTCTTTTACGATCTGTAACATTAAAATCAAATGTAAAAATACAAGGAATACTGTTATTTTATACGTTAAAAACACGCACGTGCGCCCTATGATATCCGCATGCATATTTCTTATTAAAATAATGGTAATATTATCCTTGTTTATCGTCGAACGCGATTTGTGGTCATGGATCGTTTGCGTACATCGACCACAGGTAGCGGTTCACCAAATTAAATGTTCATATAAAGACGAGTTCGCTCGTTTATATTCAAATTGAACCACGAGTTTGCTATTAGTGTATATTCGGTTACTTCGGTTTTAGTAAAGTACTAAACTTATGTTTTTCTTGTATCCCTAAATGTGGTTTTTTAATCAACTATTTGAATACTTAAATACAAGTATGTCCAGCAGTGAAAAAGATGATGTTTTATTAGCAGCCACTAGTAAAATTGTTATGAAGTACAAAAAAAAAAAAATCACACGTCAATCATGGAAGACAAAATTCAAACATAATCCAGTCGAATAGTCAGTGGGAGCCACATATTAAGGAATGTGGCAACAGATGATATTGGAAGTATTAACAATTTCCCAAGATTAACCCTTGAAATGTATATTAAAATTATAGATTTAGTAAAATCTATAATTGAAAAAAAGACAAAACTACAAAAATTTGTTTACAATGGTATCGACTGTTTATTTCCACAAAAATAACTCATTTTTTCCTAACTTATATCCCACAATATCGGTCTTTCACGATACTAATCAATTAATTTTAACGACATATTTACTGTCCGCTCAATGATACAAAAAATAATAAGCACACTACAAGACAATTAAGAATTATAAGTTATTTAATTGACAACAATGAATAATTAAGTTAACTAGTGATATCCACGAATGCGTACAAACGAAGATAAACGACTAAATTACTAACAAATTTGTTTACTTTATCGCTGGCCAATCGATTCTATGCGAAGACGAACGAACGTATTCGTTCGTGTTCGGTATCACATCCAAATATAATAATGTGTTAGAATTTTTATCTCCGAATTCCCGTTCTTTCGCTTTCGACTCTATAGTGTGGATATTAATACGATTATATATTTCTAGCTGACCCTGCCCAGCCTTTGCCCTTGACTTAATGTCCGAGGATTCACCCCCTTTGAAGCTTCATTAAATGTCAGCATTAAGCTACTAAGCTACATATATTTTTAATACAGCTATTTGGGTTATTTTGATCGGATACAAAACATACCCGAGGTGTTCTACTATGCTAAAAAAATAATTAAATTTTTTGTTTGTTTTTATTTGTAGGAAAAAAAGGAAATTATTAAACTATTAAATAATATTTAATATTATTTAAATTAAATAAAACTAATTAAATACTTTTTAATAAGTTATATTAAATAAAAAGTTCATCCAAAGCCAAAATGCAATTGTTTAAAATAAAATGGCGGATCGGTTGAAATCATTAAAAATTGTGGTAGCGGTACATTTTTTCCTTTACATTTGCTGCTGATGATTATGGCTTATGGCTTATGGCTTCGATTGAATTCGACGATTGTTTTTTAATATTAGTGAAGTAGTTCTTATAATGTAAGTGGTTCTGGTAATACCAAAAGTTGAATAAACTAGAGGACATATAAAGTAGGTTTTTTCTCATGAAGTTGATGTATTTGAGGCTTAATTATTGTTGATTTACATTATAGTTAGTACCTAATATTGTGATACAATAGCTAAGAATGTCAAAGAGAAACTGATTAATTAATTATTTTATATGTTTTATTTAAAAAAATGCTGTATTACTACCTACCTATTTAATAATGAAGACTGTCCAAGAGAGACTGATTTATTAAAGATATATATATACATTTTATACCTATTGTTATGTATACCTACCAATTGTTTTACAAATTATACAATAAAGTTTATTTTGATTTAAAGAAAAACGTGTGGACATTTTATGCAATAAATTATAAACTACTCGACCAAATTTTATGTGGAACGAGATTGACTGGTATACATGCAGTATCATAAATTTAAAAATGGGGGAATCAAAGTGACTCCATATATGGTTTAAGTATATAACCATGGTTTATAAATAAATTATATTTAAAAAACTACTTACATTTTTTAAAATATTATCTAACCTTATCATAAAAAAAAGTACAATTTGAAGTAACGACACCATTTTCAATTTTTTATTTATTAGTATACAAGATTTATGAGTAATAATGTGTAAAAAAAGTTCTAAAAATGATCAAAGTTATCCCAAACTACGGTAACAAATGTTGTTTTATTGCATAATTTTGAGGGATCTAAGTTTTGAATGAGTATTAACGGTGAATCAACTTTTGAAGTTAGAATGTGTGATAGCATTCCAAATAGTACCAAAAAGTTAAGAAACTGTAATGGACAGTTGACAGCTTGTTCTTTGTCTATAACTATGTCAATCGAATTGTATTTGACAACTTAACGACATATCTTCAATTGAATTTCATGGTTTATTTTGTTGACGTTATTATTCTTCAGAGCCAAAATTGCTCATTCGTAATGCAAATTATGATATTTGAAATTGTTTTTAACATCGGGAAAAACATTCTGTTCACCATTCTGATTTGATAACTGCATTTGGCAAATGTTTGGCGCAAAATATATTTCAAGTGAAGTTTGATTAAACTGAAGTTTTAAATGCACTCGCATATTTGTTGACAATGTAAGTTCCTCTACATGTCTCTAATGATATAACGTTTTCAAATATGCATTTAGTTCATCGATTGTTGTTGAACTTGGAATTATTGGAAAAGTTTTTCGAAAATAAGGAAACAATAGAGCTCACCTTACTTATATATGTATTTGTTTAGCCTTTTTTGGTGTCATTAGAAAATTTAAATATTTAAAAACAAAAATTTTCAAATTTTCAAAATTCAAGAAAATTATTTAAGTAGGAAAAGCCGAAAATCAACTTCGTGAATAAACCAAGTGTACCCAATGCAATATTTTAGTGGTTTAAAATCATTTTCATATTATTTCTTTTCTAATGAAACCAGTTGAGGCACGTCAATTGTATCGTTTCAAAGTTTATAACGGACATAGATAAAAAGAATTTTTGTGTTTTATAGATGTAGATTATATATATTATTAATACGAGCGTATACCGCACATCCTACATACCTCGTAGTACGTGTACCTATATAATTATATTTTATAAGCGAGTGTTTATTTACTCCACATGTTCGGGGTGCAATCCAGACAAGTTAGAAAAAAATTTCCCTTGAAATCATTCTCCTTCCCTCTAAGTTAGATAGTTCATTCCTGTAGACAAATGTTACCTTGTACGGATTTCTTCTGGTTTTTAAATGTATTTAGTTGTTATCATCCCACCGCAATGTCACGCGCGCATATAAGGGTTTAATTTCTCTCACCATCATCGCCGAGTAATTTTTGTGACCCTTTCTACGGTTCAGCCAGGAATTATTTTCGTGCACAAATGTTATTTCGGTTGTAATTTGAATCGCTGTAATCAATTTTATTATACATTTTGTGAACTCTATTGGTTTTCAGTACCTAAGCAATCAGTTAATGTGTTTGTATGTCAGTATTATTTAGGATGGGAGAGGGTGTACTGTACTTGTCACGTGTGTTGTGTTTTATTATGTTCGTTCTTAAATTTTGACACATAAACCTAAATTAAAATGTACTAAAAATATCGAACCTAATGAAATTCATTAAAATCGTAGAAAAGTAATTAATTTAAAATAATATCTAAATATATCACTGTATCATTTCTAACACTGTTACGAATAAATTAAAAAATATCTTAAAAAAAGACATATACAAATGTTAAAATACAGCGATACGCTTTTGTATAGTTGTTACCTACTAATAATACTATTAATTGATTGAAAAAAATCAATCCCTGTTATCATTGAAAACATATTGAATTCTGATTTCCAACAGGGTCAAGTGGTTTAAATGTGTACATAAAGGTACGGTAATATTATGAAGGGGTTAGTATAAAAAAATATGGCAGGTATTTCTTTGAATAAAACATAAGTATATAATACTCAAAGCAGTGAGTTCGAAATTGAAAACAGAACATACAATTAGCACGGACGCTATAGTCTCGGTAAATGAACTTGAACTTTTAAATAAAATTTTAATTACTAGAACCTATTAATGAACACACATTTAAAAACGAGTTTCATGTAGAGAAAATCTTTTATAATTACAATTGCTAAGCAAATAAATCATAAAATGTAATATGAGGAACTTATTTTATAAAGCAAACCGAAAAAAAAACTAAAAACTTAAGATAACTTATATTTAAGTGTAAATCAGTGGGATAAAGATACAAAAATTGGCCATATCAATTGATTTAAAGTCTTAGGACTTAAAATAAAAAAAAAAAAAAATTAAAAAAAATGTGTGGTATTTTGATAACCAATCAATTGTTAAGACAATTTCTAGTTATGGTAAATAATTATCGATATCGTTAATTTGACGATAATGTGGTCATTGGTAGAAGAGAATTTTCGTTTTAATTTATAATATCACTTTGTTTTATATAGTGTTTAAGTTAATTACATTTTTTTTTTAATCGGTTTCGGCTACAAGGCTCTTAGTTCAGACCCGTATGCATAAGTGGCACGGTAAAAAAGCCCCCCTTGACCTAATATTTGCTTTACCAATAAGTATTAAATGTGCATGTGTACTATGTAGTGGTATTTTATGCAAAATATTGTTTTTTTCTAATTTCCTTCTGAAATTTGATTCAAATTGGTAATAAGTAGAGCGCGGATTTCTATGCAATCGCAAATTTTTTTCCTTTCAATATTTTTGGATTTTTGTCAGTTATTTCCACGAATCATCATAATTTGAAGCTAATGGTGAATTTTTTTTTTGCATATTTCTGCATATTTAGAGGTTATTGCATATTTTTGCATATTTTGGCAAAATTCAAAATTTATTGCATATTGAAGTGAAAATTTAAAAAAAAAATGTATAAAATAATATTTTGTTAGTAGAAAAATTAAAAATAAATTTCATAGTCGATAAATAATAATTTATATATATATATATTTAGTTATAAAATAAATAATCGATAACGACGTAAACTTAATCGCTTTTGCTGTGTCAGTCGATTATCGACATACCACTTGCTTCAAATATACCCCAATAACTTCGGTTGACATCAAATGTTCGTTTTCAGTCTTTAAAAATATGTTAACCGATAAACGACATAACTTCACAGAAGATAAACTTTAAATGTATATGATTATTTATTTTATTAATAAATAAAATTTTAAAAATAAATTAAGTTCAGAAAATTTTTTTGTATTAAATATTTAAGTAATTAATTTTTATAAGTTGAATTATAAATTTTAAATAAATAAAAAATTCTTGCATATTTTTTGCATATTTTCATAATTTTGACTGCATATTTTTTGTATATTTTCATGATTTTTACTGCATATTATATGGTATATTTTGATACTTTTAAGTGCATACAAATCCGCGCTCTAGTAATAAGATTATGTTTGTCAAAAGTATTGAAAAAGTGAACAATAATAATTTTTTATTCAGTATTATCAATGAAATTATAATAACAAACACCAAAACTTGATCTAGAATGACTCGCTATTATTTTATAAGTAATATAACTTTACATATAATTTATATAATTTACATATCTACTTAGTGCATTAAGAGAGTTGCTTTCAAAAATCATTTTTTTTGTTTGGTTTAATATAATTTAAATGTATTAGGTTTTATTAAAGGTATTAGGTACCATTGATACACCAATAATTAGGCAGTTAAATTAATTATTATTTTTATTCAAATAAAAATTATTTTACTTTAAGATTTTAATTATATGTCTAAACTAATAACCATGTTACTATAAATAATATTGGAAAATTAAAAAAAAAAAAAAAAATTGAACCAGTTTTTAATAACCATTTACGTGAACCACTTTTTTGGATAATAGTGATTATTTTAAATTTAATGTTTGAAAATCATATTAAATTTGTACATATTTATAATAACTGAAATTTTTAAATACAGCAGGTACATTTATCAGGCAAGTATTATATTTATTTCTTTATTAACAAATTAACAAAGTTTTAATGTAAAACAAAGTTTTCTGACTTGAAATATTTGTTCAAAATTATGTATTTTAATTATATGTAAAACACAATGAGTGTTCTTATGAAAAGTTTTTAATGAATACGATGAATCAATTATTACATGATACTTTTCTTTTGTTCGAGTAAATTATATTATTCAGGATTCCATTATGAAATTCTGATGTTCATACCGCCATCAAGTTCAAATGTTGCGTAATTTAAAATAAACCATTTAATAATGGTTTTAGAACTTATTAGTTGAGCTAATTTTTAATCAAGCAGTCATCAATAACTTTATGATTAAATTGATTATTTAAAAATAATCCAAAACTTACATAAAATATGTGTCACTATGCTATTAAGTGTATAAATTCCTTCGATTAAGTGGAACGTTAATGTTATAATAATTTTCAGATACGATATTTAAATGAGTATTTTTCCTTAATCAATAGTAATTATTCAGATCCATTTTACCATATTTATTATATAAAAAAGCTTTGGCTAGGTTAGGTTAGATTAGGTTAGTTCAAACTCATTGTTCGAATGTGACTCCATATTCGGGTGATAAGATTAATTGATAGGAATGAGTTAATGATATAACTGTATTGGTGTTTTAAATTTTAAACAAATGTATAATGGTTTTTGAAAAACACTATTTTATAGTTAAATCAAATATTGGTAATAGATATGTTGAACTATAAATGTTACAAATTTTTGAAAAAAAAAGACATTTTCAATTTGAGAAAATTAAAAATTTCAAATGCCTAAAAATACCATGCATATTATTAAAATATTATTAAAATACTAATATGAATACTTAATAAATGTTTCGAGTCGCTTGGTTGATATTTATAGGATAATAGTAAAATATCAAATATCGCGTAAAATCAAAATTTGTTGAAATACTGAATTTCATCAAGTTTTATTTTCTAATGCTTATAAAACATTTTTGAATTTTTCTAGTTTAATATTTATTTTTACTACAATGAAAATCTTTTGAGAAATCTTGTAATTTATTGTTAAGTTTTAAGGATACAAATTGGAAGTTTTATGAGTATTTAAAATAGTATTCGATTTTCGTGATTTTTTTAGTATTGTCAAAGTATAATATTTAAACGCTTGTACCATTTTTTTTTTTATTAATAGATAATATATATGTATGCATAAGGAATTTTTTATTATATTTTCAAAATATTTTCGAATAATTATAAAAATTTTCTAAGGAAAATACGTTTTTGACTCTCTATATAATAGTTTAAAAAAGTTTTTGAACATTATACCATCTTTATTGGATGGTATTTACATAAACTTTTAATTAATATTTAAAGTTTATGTAATTATTATGTTTAAAGTTGTAATGAAAACAAAAATTCAAATTTGGCGAAAATTGATTTGACTAATCTAATGTCGTTAATGTATTATTTTTTTTTATAACTTTTCGTCAATTTTTTCGGTATTATTAAAATAATTGTTAAAAAACTCGTAAAATGTATCCCTTCGAAATATTAACTATTTTATTTCAGAAATGTCTAATGATTTTAATTATTTGAGTAATATTTCTGGCTGAAATCGTAAACATATATATATATATATAAAAAATATGATAAAACAACAAACAGATATGACTAGAATCTAAAAAATGTATACGAATCATGTAACTAAAATCTAGAGATCCGTATATTTTTTATATTATGATTTAACTTTTTGTATGATCGTTAACTTTGAAACGTGTACTGGAGCTAAAACAACGAAGGCAAGATAATTAGATCTGGAAGTCTTGATACTTTTACTGACTTTTTGTGCATCAGTGGTTATTTAATATTTCAATTCAATTTCACTCATGAATATTTGAACTCGAATTTCGCCAATAGTCTATGTTTGCTATTATTTTTTAAAAGAAGATCAATGATTTTTTTAAATTTTCTCTCGAATTTTCAACCGTGGACATAGGACATCATGTATTCAATATCGTTGTCCTTTTTTATTTATTTTCTTTTTAATGTCTTTTTTATAACGAAATGATACGGATCTTTTTTTTTTGATTGTTTTAATTCGTGGTAACGTCTAGTTGCATTACCATATCGTATTGACTTGATTTCCGTTAATAATTAATAGTCATAAAACGTAGCAAATGGTCACCGAAAGAAGGAGTTAACCTCTGAGCTTACCTTTTTGTTGATTGTGATATCCGTGAATATGGAGTGCACCCTCCAAGTTTTCGAGAACATAGCGCCGAACGCTAACGAAAACCCGGCCATTAGCAACCACGCTCGTGCAGCGCATATGTACGGAAACATGTTAACGCTAGTCATCTGACTGTTGAGGCCCAGAAATATGACACTGCTGTACGTCAACATGCAGCCGATGATAATTAAATTATTCAGATGTGGACTGGACATTTTTATGTATCTGAAACACGCGATAATCGCTTAGCTGTATTACAATGACGCATTTCAGTTCAATTCGTATTCAGTACCGTGTTAAGTTATACTAACCCACCCCATCTATTTTCTTTCACGTCAATAATGGTGAAACTACGAAACCGGTGATGTAACTAATTCTAGGGTAACTGCTCAAATATAACGTTCAAATATTAAAGCATGGTAAAACAATAAATAAATAATAAATGAATCCACTGTTGTGGACGAATCAACTAAATTGTTATTAAAAATCAATTATTTTAGTTGTACGTACAAATTGTGAATTGAAAAAAATATTATAAATATTATTACTAAGTACCTTAATCAATATCCGAGAAATCATTATTGGCTAATAAACTTAAGTTGACGTCGATCACCTGAAGTGCAATATTAACTTTAACGATTTCCGTCAATTTGAATTTTGAAAAACACAATCATATACCATTTATTGTTATACATATATTATACGTTTGTTCTAAACAAATTTAGTGAAAAAATAAATTAATTCTACTTTAAATGAGATATAATTTATAAATATTAGGTAAGTTTTTTTTTCTCATAATTTACTTTATTTGAAAATCACTGTTTCAAAAACTCCTACCTCATAAACATTGTTTCCAAATAAAGTTCATAATTTACCCATACACAACGATTAAAATATTCTGTGATGTTAAATTTTTATTATAATATTATGTAATTATTAAGTATCATATGATCCATCGTAGTGTTTATGGTTTTAAGTACCATATGATCTTAAAACTATAAACACTACGTAATCATTGGTTTCAATAGTTTAAATGTATGCTAAATATACAAGTTGTTTAAATTAAAATAAATATAAGTATAACTATATTCAGAATGATGAAATTTCATAAATTGTGAGTTATGTCTTAATAAGTTTCAAGAATTTTCATTAGTTAAACATGATTTATTGTATCAGATATAATTAAATAAATGATTTAGTAAAAGGTGTCTATATAAACTCTCAAGATTTATATTTTTTTCTTTCATGGAATAAATATAAGAAAAATAAATTTATTATCCAATGATTTGAGAATGTTTTACATTCTTTTTTTTTTTATATCTTACATATTTATAAGTACACAAATTATTTAAAATTCGTCCCATAAACAACTTATAAAGGGATGCCAATAGTGTTAGTATAAATTTTATAGGCAATTTAACCTTTGCCGTTCCTCTAACGGGGTCACTGCATTGTTAGTGGTAATTGTTTCTCAGTGTTTTTATCTACATCATTTCAAAATACCCAATTACAGCTTTACAACAAAAAATACGGAGTTATGAATATTTATAATTCCTACTGTATTCAATTAATTTAAATGGACTAATTAATTGAAACGGTGTAAAAATGTTAAACAATAAACTTTTCAACATCTTATTGGAATGGAAGAAATTATTTGATTTAATTAAAATATATAACATATGTTTTATTACATTAATTAAAATACAAATATAAAATCGAATTTATGTCCAAGGTTTTATATTATTTTTATCATGATATCTCATTAATTATTTTCGACAAATAACATTATCAGTGACTGGTTTTGTTTACATACATTGCGCTATAAAATAAGAACTTATTAGTTGAAATAGAGAAAAGTAGGATTCGTTTTTGGCCAAAGATATCATTGATGATATTGGGTTCTTTTAAAATTGGTCATGCAAAATGAAATAAAGAAAATAACGGGAAAATTAGCACATTGAAAAGGAATTTTTAAATTAATTTTTGCCACGGAGGCGAAAAAAATCTACAGTGTAAAATGTTAACGGGGTTTATTTTAGAATAAGAATTTTCCCGACTATTTAGTTGAGTTTTTCAAATTTAAATGATAAGGAACAGACCGATTATTAAATAGTGAGAAAACTGTATTTCTTAATTGAAAAAAATAAAATAAAAAAAATGTTCAAAAAATTTGCATTACACAAATTATTGTAGTTAATGTAACCGATAGTACTTGGTCTCTCTTTATGCAAAGTCAAATTTGAATTCATGTTCAAAAATTGTTCTGCTAAAATGTAATAATATTATATTTTCTCATGATCGGCTGGTAACATAAGTCCATCATCATTTATATATTTTGTACAAAAAACATCACTGTTAAGCATGTAGCTAAATATTTAGTTAAATATTAACAAATTTTGAATTGTTTTAGGATTTAACAGTTACATCATAATACTTGTAATTTTTTATTTATACTAACCGAAGCCGAGACTAAAAATTAATAAAATTACGATACATAAAATAATAATATAATACTTACGAGTATATTTAGTTCACCTATGATTTCAATTATATTTCTATTATAAAATAACAGTATTAAAAAAATGTTTTAAATCGTAGCGTACTACTAGTAGTATCATATATATTTGGTAATTTCAATCAATATAAAATATTATATTTATGTATGAATTAATTTTAAAATATAAAATAACTTAACATAAAAGACTGTGTTTAAGAACGTATTGTGACTGTTGTACGATGGTTACTTTGTTACGTAAAAAATAAAAAATATTAATTTAAGTTAAAATTAATGTTTCCTTTTTTTTTATTATTTTGTTTTAAACTATTATAAAAATACTGCGGGTTTTGAAAACACTTTCTTTTCTTTTTTTTCTATATATTTATAAATCGAAGTTAAAACCCAGCTATAGATACGATTTATGTTACATAGAATCAAATGCATGAAGTTGGATTTTTTTTTTTTTTTTTGCTTTTTCTATATTTTAATACTTTTTTAAAATTTATTCTATATATACATATTTGAAAGGTTAATATATAATTTTTAAATTACACAATGTGTATAATGGGTAAAACGATTTTATCTCGTTATGTTTAATTTACTTTAGAGATTTATCGATGTAACATGGATATGATATTATATGTTATAAAAGTCCGTTCCGTTATTTCTTGACAACCATTCATTGTATTTCAATTTTTCATTTATGAAAGAAGAAGAACAGTAGACTTAAAAATAGAAATCATTTTTGTAATATATGACACCTTTTATAAAATTATTTAATAAGATAATACAATTTTTAAACACTGTACACTGTTTTTGTATTAAATAATATTTTTTTTAAAAAATTAATTTTCGATGTCTTTTTTTTAATATTTGTAAAGCTATATTGCTTTATTTTAAGTGATTTTTTTTTTTAGATTTTAATTATTTCAAAATCCGTACACTAGTTATATATAACACAAAGAAGGGATTCGGTTTCGGCGACCCACGTTTATATTTATAATAAACAAAATTCTATGAAATAGGTGTATTTTAATGTATGACATAAATTACGTAACGCGTATACTCAATTAAAATAATATTATGGATTTACGCACCAGAAATGTCGAGTAAAGAGTTCTTGCTGAATTCGGTTGCAGATTATTGTTAATTTATAAGGTACTGTTATAGGTTGTAATGACACATGGTTGATAAAATTTAATTAAAATGCCCAGAGTACTCGGGCTTCGGTTACTGCTGCAGCGGCTACTGGAAACCATTTCGCGTTCGCCTTAAACATCTGTCCTTCAATATCTCGCTATATAATACCCCACTATCGAAGTTCCATACTACTCTTCGCAATATCGATTTATCGTTCTTTAAATCGATAACAAAAAGTATATCCAATATTATAGTACGTATTATAATACGTAAGTTTTTTGTTTTTCGCGAGACTCGACATAATCTATCATAAAGTACCGGAAAATCAATCCGAGGTTAGAGATTTGTTTTATTTTCATGTTGTGTATTATAATGAGTAAATACCTACACGAAATACGACCAAAGTAACTCAAAGGTTCAATAAAAAAATATATCTATGTTATATGATTAAATCAAATGTTCAGAATAGTTTTCAAAACGGAGAGATGGCGTATTGATTTTACATTTTTTTTTTATGATAAGTTTTTTTTCTATTGTAATTTTCAAAATGAAATGCGTATTATTCCATTTTATATATATACTATATAATAATATTTTGTAATCAATATTAATAATGGTTTATAACTTTTGAATAACATTACATAGGTAGTTATAGTATTATAGAATAGTAGTAAATTTTCAACTAATCTATGACATTGATTGATAATTGGGATTCTAAATTTTCTACGGTTTTATTTATGAAATCACGTTTTGCTTTTTTTTTAATAGTATAATGAATTGTATTTTGTAGAACCTTATCTTTAAAATCAAATAATGTTAATATTTTGTGATCATAACAGTATATGTTTAATATCCTTTAATGCACAAAATTGTTGGTTCAAGAAGAATTAATTATTTTCTCAATATGCGAATGGTCTTCAGTCGATATCTTACAGTTATATAAATTTTTTTTGACAAAAAAAAAAAAAAAAATCAGTACAATTATGTTGTTTGGTTAAATCGGACAAATGTTTCTTAAAAAATCAAAAAAAAATCCCACGTCTATTTCGTGTTATAATTTATGAAGTTTCCGAGTTAGGAAAAATAGGTTTCGTTAGGATAAACTACTGTGAAACTATGAAGAGATTTGATACGAGTATGAGAACTGAGTAAAATGGTACCGTAAGAAACTCGAATAAAAACGAATAACCGAATAGTTATTAACCACTTATTAATACACCAAGTCGGAGAGTAGATACATTTCGGTGGTATAAGAATAGCAACTGAACCGACTTCGTTTGTATTTTAACCGTTTCACTAAAAAATAATTTCAGTTGACTGGAAAGCGTTCAAACTAAATCTATGACGCATGTAGACTCTTAGAGTGTGTTATACGAATATAAATTAGTGCAAAATTATTTTCCAAATCCTCGGTTGTAAGGGAGTAGTAGACGTGAGTATTCATAAATAAAAAAAGTTAGGCTCATGATATTATGATATTTTGTACTTACTTTTGATCTCTGTACCGGATGTTTACGATGAGGAAAGCGGTGGCTATGACAATACCAACGACCGCGGCAACGGCGAGTCCTATGTAAACGCCTACGTTGACGTGTGAGTCCTCGTAAATAGTCAGGGTCCGATCTTTGGGTGGACCTTTACCGCCAGCTCTCCACTTTACTTCTTCCCCCACGCTCAAATCCAATGTACCGGTCACTCCGTTGTACTCACCGATTTTTACTTCTTTATTTCCTAAATATGAAATATAAATCACATGAAAAAAAAATGTAATTTTAAAAATGTAGCTATATCTTTGTATTCCAACAGTAATTAGGGAACAGAGAACTTGGGTATACCTCAATTTGTAACGATAAGCAACCGTTGGAATAATAATAAACTATTGGGATAATGGTATTTATAATACGATATACTGATTATTCATAGAGTTTTTCAGAATTGTAGAAGTTTTTCAAAAAAAATAATAAAATTAAAAAATAAATAAAAAATACATCCGCAATATTTAATTAATTTAAATATTTGACTAAGCAAAAGTATATAAATAGAGTATACGATGAAAAAGCATCATAACATAGTATTAAATATTTCGAATTTTTTTCATATTATTTATAAATATTTATATATTTATGGCACCATAAAATGTACACTTGTACGGTTTATTTTCATTGATAAAGTTTATATATAGTGTTAAGTGGTTTGGGTAAGTAACTGTATTTGATCAGCTCGTTGCGAAAAAGTTAGTTTAAAACTTTCGACCCGGAAAACGTGCGATATGGTTTGTAGTGGGTTGAGAAAATGTAGTGTACAATCACAAAATTACGCGACTAGAATTACAAAAAATAAAAGCTCATAATATATTAGTATGTATAAGTAGACTCATTTGATGTTTTCAAAAGTTTTAATTAATATTCACGTACGGTTTTTTATTTAGAAGATTTCTTAGTAATTATTGTTTGGCCCCAAACAAAAAACAACTCACAGATTTACCTTTTGCAAATAAAGTCCAATAAGTGTTCGTGTATTATATTGTCATCGTATACAGAAAATGACCGAGCACTGAGAAATAATTATATTACGGTAATGACGATAAAGTGTCGAAAATCAAAATTGAGAGGTGATCAACATGGAAATAAAATGTATTGCGTAACAGAATTGTATTACCTCCTACGTCGTTCTTTTAAAATAAATGACGTGATTGTGCTTTTATAATTTTTTTTTTTTTATTATCATATCTTACGCGTGATTTACTACGAAAACGGTAGAATCTATCTGCAACGAATGGATTGTACTTTTAAAAATTTCAACTCTAGTCGTCGATAAACAAATCCTGGTAAGGCTTAGAAACCATCTGTCTAACACATCCAGAAGCTCACCACTGATCTGTGAAGCTAGAATACGTCCCCGTTCGTTCGCGCGTTATCGTTTGTTTAAGAAATAAATAATGTACATTTAACATTTGTTATTTGATTATAGTTGTGTACTTAAAAAATTAAATCCTAACTCATGGTACCTAAACCTGTAATGCAAATCAGGTCGTTTTGAAAACGAATGTTCAAACATTTATTTTGGTAATAAAATTTATCTTTTATTATGCACTATGAATTAAATTATATTTAAAATGGAATATTATTAACGTGGTATCATTTATACTGAAATGTGTACATTGATATTATATTGCTTAGCATATATTATTAAATTTATGGATTTTCTTAATTACATTCTAAATAGAATAAAATAAAATGATGTCAATTTATATTATAACCATGTCAAATAAGTGAAAAAATATGTTTAAAAACACTTGTCTGCCAAATTGTTTTTACAGCATTCAGGAAGATTTTCTGAAATGTGATTGGATATTTAAGAAACTTAATTGAATTTAACAGTGCAAATATTTGCAGCGATTTTTTTAAAATTTAAAATAAAGAATTTTTAAAATATTTTCATTGCATAGATTTCATTTAATAGTAGTTGAAACATAAAGACGAATTTACTTGAATGTTTTAGGTAGTTTGAGAGTATTGGAGACTTTGTCTGCTGTCCAGATGTTTAAGACTTAACAGGTTGAAAATAAGATTTGTATAAAAGAAGTTTACCTCATAAATGTGTCTGCGAGAAAAAAAAGTACTCAGAGAAGTTATATTTGTTTTTTTCTTTAGGACGAGACACTAACCCATCAACCCAAGTATCCATTAAAGATTAAGGCTTCAAAGTCAACTTATATTAAAGTCTATGGGATAAGTTTCTAATCAACCAAACTGGCTGATAGTGAACGAGAAAAAAACAAATTACTTGATGAAGAAATATTTTGACTTATTTATTTTAATATTTTTAACATTTAGTTCATAGCTTATCCAAATAAAGATGCCATTGTATTGTCAGATATAAGTCATATATTAATTATATCTAGGTGTTTTCAAATTGAATTGTCTCAGGCATGGTGCTTAATAAAACTGTATTGGTTTTCGGTAAATTTTAGAGTAAAAAAGTTTTATTAAAAGGATGAACGATATTATTGATTTGTGAAAACTTAATTTAGGTTAAAAAAAGTATTTGAGTTTTGACGAATAAAAATAAACCACGTTTTAAGTACGATTAAATAGGTAAATAGTTAAATGATAAAAAAAGTGTATTATATTTTGAACAGGAAATTATTATGTAAACTTGATATTCGATTGTTTGTGTGATCATGGTATAATATAATATTAGTAAACAGAAAACATATTTCCTTGTATATATATATATATATAAAAAAAATGGTTAAAAATGCATTTAAGTTCATGAATGGTAAGATGCGATGGCTGTAATCAAATCGCGTATTCAAGACAATATTTTTTCCTGTAAGAAAGAATCATTTAGGCAATAATATGATTTAAAATGTTGTATAATGGAGACCGTAAATTATCTGATTGGTTTGTAATTATAATTATATTATGTTCTAATCGTATAAATAAGAGCTTTATTGGGTTTTAGAATGAAAATAATGCTAGAGAATTAATGTACCTATATGAATTCATAACATTTTATTATAATCAGTGTTGCGCAATGATAACTAAAAAATTATCTTTATAAATAAAAGAAAAAAGGACAACATTTTATTTTATTAATTAATTTATACTTTTTTTTATACATTTATACTTAAAAAATTTAATTAAATTAAAATTAACTTAATTTTGATCTAACAGGTAGCTTCAATATAAACAATGAACAAAAAATATTCATACTATTTACATTTACGTATGGGAGTAATAAATAATAAGTACTTAGTTTTAAAAAACAATACATTTATTTTAGGTATATTATAATTTTTTAATACAATTCTTTACAATTTATTTTATACTTATTGTGGATAATATTATACTCGACTGTGATCTATCGAAACCTAAAATACACATATCAGCAGTAATAGCAAATCAAGTGGCGCATCAGCTACTTATAAATGGTAGGATAAATAAAAAAAAAAAAGAAAAAGAAGCATAGATACATATCAGATGGAATACAATGTGAGGAGGAATCAATACTAAGAGACTATTTCTTACCATTAGAACTCCAAATCGCTATTGATGAGCTGAAAAATAGGAAAGCAGTGGGTGCAGACGACATTTGCACAGAACAAATGAAGAACTTGGGGCCGATTGCCAAAAAGTGGCTCCTAGACCTTTTCAAAAATATCACAAACACAGAACAAATCCCCAAAATCTGGAGAAAATCAAAAATCATAGCACTTCTTAAACCAGGGAAAACCCCAGACGACCCAAAAAACTTCCGACCCATCTCCCTCCTCTGCCATACCGAAAAATTATATGAGAAATCAGTCCTAAACATGCTAAAAATATTCATAGATGATAAACTCATCAAAGAGTAAGGCAGTTTCAGACCAAGAAGGTCCTATACTGGACAAATATTGGGACTTACCCAACATATAGAGAATGGCTATGAGAAAAAAAAAATAACTGGAGTAGAATTTATAGACTTAATGGTGGCATATGACACAGTGAATCATAACCTTCTAATCTCTAAGATCAAGGATCTAACTAAAGATAATACACTTGCCGAGATAATAAACATCCTTCTTCGAAACAGGCGATACTGTGTGGAACTTGAAGGAAAGGTTTGTAGATGGAGAATTCAGAAAAATGGCCTTCCACAAGGTAGTGTACTACCACTCACACTCATATACACTAATGACCAGCCGATACTTACCAAGGCCGGTATCAAACATTTCATATATGCTAACGATATAGCCCTAACCGTCCAAGGTAACACTTTTCAAGATGTTGAAAGTACACTAGAAGAATCACTCAGAGTATTAGCTGATTATTACGATGAAAACTTCCTTAAACCGAACCCAACTAAAACACAAGTCTGTGCTTTTCATTTTAAAAACAGAGAGGCAGACCAAACTTTGGAAATCGAATGGCGAGGTACTAAATTAGAGAACTCAGCACATCCCACATACCTAGGCGGTATGCTAGATCGATCCTTTACGTATAAACATCATTGTGAGAAAACTAAGCTATAAATTGCTACAAGGAACAACATACTCCGGAAACTCACAGACTCTACGTGGGGGGGGGGGGGGTAACGAACATACACTACGTTTATCTGCACTGTCATTGTGTTTCTCTGTTGGGGAATATGCCAGTCCTGTGTGGAGTAGGTCCATCCACACAAAACAAATAGATACCATTCTAAATAAATCCTGCCGCTTAGTAACATGTTGTCTTAAGAGTATTCCACTTCCCAAAATTTACCAATTCGCTGGTATCACCTCACCAAACATCAGATAAATAATTTTGTTTATTAACTAGATAAAATAAAATATAATTAATAAATTATCCAGATAATTTATCTAGATCAGGGTGGTCCAACTTTTTGTGGTTCGCGGGCCAATTCAACACTTTTTTAAACACACCGGGGGTCGCCAGAAGAAAAAAAAATTATAATTTATCTATTTATATTTTATTTTATAATTTTATATTATACGCACATAATTACATTACAGTGTAAGTTACTAATAATTAAAATTAGTTAATTAATTAATGTGATGATTGACATTGTTTTTCATTAGCCAAATTTTCGAAATCAATTGAGCATCCTGTTATGGCTAACCTAATACACGATTCTAAAGATGAATCTAGAAGACGGTTTCTTGATTTTGACTTTATTAAATTCATCGTAGAAACGATTCACAAATATATACAAATACAAATATTATTTCCAAATAATGACAAAAT